TATAAACACTAATATTTTTTTTATAATTTTATATATTATTTAATAATTAACTATTTTTGCTTTAATAAAACCTATTATATTGGACAAGGAAAATGCTATATCCACCCTCATCCTCTACACACTCCGTGACACACATCCATTCTCCGTTATCTTCTCGTTAACTCCCTGACGGAGTCATCCCACCCATCGTCACTTCGATGATCAGTGACTGGAAAACTATCCCAATTTCTAGCACCTGTGACACCAATCTCTGCTTCACCACCTGGGATTGCTCTCAATAAAACCTGCAATTTCATCCTTTAATTTTCTTTCTCTCTCTATCCCTCCATCAACACCAGATCTGAACATTTTTCCTTCCAATTTCTCTCTTTTGCTGGGTCAATCGAAGGAACCCAACAGCAGCTGCTTTCCTGAACTTGTATGCCGTCATCCACCTAAAAATTCCGTTCAATTACCGTCCCAGAAATTCGAATCAGCTTTTGAAATTGTCTGCAAATACGTCTTGCTTTTTTGAGAAGAAGGGTGATGAGCTGAAAGAGAGTGGCGAAGTCGCTTCAAGCGCTTGTAGCCCATGCCCTTCTCTTCTCTTTCATGCTTTTGCTCACTTTCAAGCTTGATTATCCTGTCACTTATTTTTGGTGGTTCGTATCTCATCCTCTATTTTTCAAAATTTCCCTTTCGTTGCCTAGGAAGTTGGAGAAATTGAACTTGAAATTTTGAGTCTTGTTTGGAGTGGTTGTGCGAAACTCTGAAAATGCCCCCAAGCTTCTGGGTTCCTAAATCCTTATCTTCAACCTCTAAATCCTTTCATTTCCCTCCCTTTCCCCAACACCAAATCTAGGTTTCCTTTGCAGGTTCCCACTTGCTTAACTTCATGCTCTATGCCAGTGAAATTGACGACAATGATGAAGAAGAAGGAGATGAGGCTGCAAATGATTAGGATGAGGATGAAGGTGAGGAGGAAGATGGATCTGGTGAGGACAGTGAACAGAAAGAAAGAGAAAGGAAAGGAGAGAACTGGGTTAGCATGCAGTTCCAAGTGAAGAATACAGAGAACTGGTGAAGACAACGAATAGCAGAGAACATGAGGCTAACGGAGATGCTAACGAAGTGAGGAGGTGTAACGGAGTGTGTAATGGATGAGGTGAATGTATCATTGTCCATTGGACAATTATACATACACCCAAACAATCAACACCCATCTCAACACCCAAGGCTAAAATGAGGAGGGGTAAATTTGTAATTTTACTGTTCATAAGTCTTGGGTGTTGAGATGGGTGTTGATTGTTTGGGTGTATGTATAATTATCCTATTATATTATATGTATTAATTTATTTAATATCATGTATAAATGAAAAATTAATCTTGTGATGAAAAATATATATTTATTATTTTTTAAGTATTTTTCATTAAAAAATTATAATTTTTAATATAATTAACAAAATTATAATTCATTTACACATAGTAATGAGAACGGGACTCATGCGACTCTGCAAATTGTAGGGACGAGAATTCCTATGGAAATTTTTGATGGGTCAAATTTGCCTCTTGTTACTTGGGGGGATTCCCTACTCCCTCGCAATTAATATTACAAAATTAATTTAACAATTTTTATTTTATTATTTTAAAACAAAATGTTTTAGAGAGATGAGTTAATTAGATTTTAATATTGAGAAAAATAAAAAAAAAAATAAGCAATTTGTTATAAAATTAAGAAAGAATCGATTAGGAAAAAATAAAAAAAAATTGGAGAGACAAGTAAGACAAGATAAACATATATTACCCATAATCGGGTGGATGAGTTGGCAGGGGATATTTCCAGTTTAATCAGAGGTCTTGGTTTCAAGTCTTGGGAATGCAATTCTGTTAAAACTCATGAGGGAGAGTTTTGCCACCCGTTGGGTCCTGCCCAGCTCGAATCCGGATTAGTCAGTGGCCTAGTGGGCTTTCGAATACCAGGTGGTTCAAACAAAAAAAAACATATATTATATTTCTAAGAAATAATACATATACCCTATAAAGTTACACATTCCATTACACACTAACAATTTCTATTACTTGCGTCGTTAAAACTGATAGTTTTTATTACTTGTACCGTTAAAACTGACGGTTTCTGTTATTTGTGCCGTTAAAACTGATGATTTTCATTATTTGCACCGTTAAAACTGATAGTTTCTATTATTTGTGCTGTTAAAACTAACATTTTCTGTTAATTATGCTGTTAAAACTTTAGAAAATGATTGGCATACCCTTGGTTTAACACATTTTGTGACACACTCTTGGTTTAGTCATTAAAAATATAATATAAATACAGTCAATTCAACTGGTTTCTATATCATGTGTGCATAATTATATCATTAAACTTATTTGTCTTTAATTTCAAACTAAAAAATAGTTATTTTTTAATGAGTATGTCACGCAGTGTGTTGAACCAGAGTGTGTAGCAATCATTGTCCTCAAACTTTACATATTGATAGTTTCTATCAGTGTGTAATGGAATGTGCAACCGTGATGGATGTATGTATCATTATCCTATATTTCTATTCATTTTTTCTTCATTTGTTTTCTATACATTTTCATACATTTGCAAGAGTGTGTC